TCTCGTCTAAGAGCTGAAGTCCAGGACATGTCATCCCCAAACGAAGAGAGAGATCGCAGGGACGACATGGACTGTCGTTTGACACGATCGATCCTTCCAAATAGACTTGCCCATTCTTTCTTCGAAACGAGAGAAAGTTGCAATAAACCACAGGTCGTCATCATCATTGCGATCACGAAGAGGGCCGATTGCCGTGAGATCGCCTCGGTGGAAACAACAGCCATTGCAACAGCCACATTTACGATGATGCTTGGCACAGTCATGACTGAACCACGAGACTCTGGTGGAATGTAAATCGATCGCATGACTCCTTCACAGGGCGAGTAGATCCCTACAGAAAATTCGTAAGCGATAAACGAGAAAAGGGCAATCGAAAATGTGTATTCTCCGGTCGCCGGCAACAAGGACGGAGCAAGTAGCAGCATGGCACAAAAGAAATAGCAAAGTGCTCCTTGGAATTCAATATCCATTGCCCGAACAGGTTCTTCGTCATCAACAGTGACAGTCTCGGGGACTTGACCCTTGGTCAATGGTGATAAGATGAAGGTGACAAATTTCCTGACTGTAGAAGAGCAAAGTCCACCCAATACACCGGCTGCCATGAAGGCGCCAAAAATCAGTCCGTAGGCTGGTTCTCCTTGCGTGTCCAGTCCCCAAACCGCTCCGTTTGAACCTGCAGCGAATTCCTTCAGCAGCGGAGACCACAAGAAGATGAAAATGTGGAGGGATCCAAGGGTAAGACCTTGAGTGATGCACACACGAAGAACTCGAGAGTCTGAGCGGATGAATGTTAGAGTTTCACTCAACTGAGTCAACGACGATTTAGAGKTGTTTTCGTCTCCCTCGGCCTCTTGWCCAATCTTTCCATAGTTTTCATTCCACAAGAAGAAAATGACTACGAATGCAACTGCTGTGCAAGTCACAGCGCCTTCAAACGGTCCGGTGTTGCCAAAAGATTCTGCCAGTAYATGAGCCAAGTAACCGGAGGCAATCGCTGCCAAATTGCTTACTACAACGGAATCTCGCATGAGAGTTTCGTAGTCTTCTTTCGCAAAACCTCTGTTTCGATACTCCGTATCCAACCACGTCTCAAACACAGTGGAAAGCAAGTTGGTCGTGATACCACCTACAACGCGGCTCACAATGAGACCGCTCAAAAAGGGAAATTGCTCGAGCATGTTGATGCCAACTTCCAATGCGCAGTAAAGCAATGCCGATTTCTTTCGTCCGAATCTATCGATCARCGGACCAGTGATGGGAGCTGTAAGTGCTCCAGTGATGAATCCCAAGCAGTAAAGGGACGCAACGGAAAATCCATATCCTTCGTACAAAACATAAAGATGGGTACCTGGAATATTATTTAGAATCAAGAAAAGATTTAATAAGAATCAAATAGAAAAACTGTTRTGCAAGAAAAGTCGCWAGTGATTCCATAAGGCATCGTGTGAAAGTATGGATCTTACCTTGCAGCCCGTCTGCAAGCATTACCACAAGGGTGACAAAAAGATAGCTAAGGCGGAATGTCAAGAACGAGAAGCGGTTATCACCTGTTTCGTAATCGCATTCAGAATCAAGAGCGGTGTAATCCGAGTCTAGGTTGCTTGATTCTGAATTAGATGACACCGTTGTGCACGTGTTGTAGCTAACATTGAGAGGGGTACACGATTCCGACCGATCGTCAGGGAACGCTTTGCCGCATGTATCACTGTTGTCGCCTTCCTTGTCGGATAATGAAGTGGAAGATGAGGAAAAGTCACTGCATGATTTSGTAGGGGGCATTGAATCATCCGTGTCTTCGTGCTTAGGTTTCAACAGCRTGTTTTGTGTCTTATCGTTCTCCTGACCWGATAGGCAATGCCGCAGAGGTGTTGGTATAAGGCTCCTCAATAGGGAGGATTCTTTGGAGTTTTTGGTGTCAGGAGTGCCTCCAATACCAGTTCTTTTTTCTTGTCTGTGAATATTCCGCTTTCGGAGTCCTGTCTCCTTGTTGTCAATCTGTGGCGACATGGTTCTTTTATCTAAGAGTAATTTGTTCCGCAGAAGAAGCTGCGCACTGTTTCCTCAATCTATGAGGGCCTTCGGGTAACGTGGTGTAATGGCAACAGGTGAACAACTTGACTAAATAGCTGTGTTGGTTTGGTGCTTAATATTTAGGATTCAGACAAACATTCACAATGCAAATGTGATAACGGACTACGTTCCTTCCGTGTTACTAATAATTGTGAGAGATGAATTCGTTCCTAATCGGGCATCTAACTGATGATGTCTTGCAGTGCATTGTCGGGTAACCCGAGAAGGAAGAGAACCGGTCTGAGACAAACACTTTGCGCGTGCATACATATTATTCGTGATTAGTACTGATTCACGTTCGTTGCCACGGGTAACATTATTTGTCTTGTTTACTCACATTTGAAAGCATAGATTTTGACTTTGCGCAAAGGGTGACGGCGTGCGTTCATTTTTTTCATCTTGCAAGCAAGCACGGAAAGGAGGCCGAAAATTTACCGCCTTTTGCATCCGTTGAATATTTCATAACAATATACAAAAACGTACATAAGTGATTCAAGAAAAGACTTACGGTATCGCTCCTTCCATCCGATTCGTGCCGTTCTGTTTTTCTCTTATTGGTTTGCACGTGTGTACTCGTGTACGGACGTTGAATATCATTTTTTGAATTTTTGTGAAAAAACACGCTGGCTTGACTACAAGACTGACTGTCTTCACAGAAATTAATGTAATATCGGCGACTCCGATGATAATACGAAGTACGGTACAGTACTTAGTTAGTTCGGGGTACGTAACGTACCTACTCTAAAGTCATATGTACGTTGTACTCTACCACATCATCGTAGCTTTAACGCATAGATTGTACGATAGTACCGTAGTTCTGAGATATTTTTGTTCACAATCCGGCCACAATCGATTTTGATGACACAATTAATCGCTGAAAAGGTTGATTCGGAACATGGCAGCAAGCTTAGGCTACAGTCGTTGAGAGCTGGTCGGGCACGATAGCTCGTTTGAGGCAATAGTAAGATTCCATTCAACGGATAGACTAAAATTTTAGAAGGACTATCAAAAACACCTGAACCGGCTGTGATGAAATCCCAATCAATTACCGTCAAAAGCAATAAATTGGCAAAATGGGCAATAGTCGAGGAAGTCAACAATGGTATTTGTAGATGTTGGGTTGTACCGGTACGTACAGTGAATGGGTGATTCCCGTAAACATAGAATCTATGCTGACATAAATCGAGTCTATGACTCTACGGGAATAAAAATGTAACTACATAGATTTGAGTGTCATAGACTGTGTCTCGCTACATGTGCTTAATTTGGAATAGGGAATTTTGCTTCAAATTAACAGAAAATAACTGCATTCTGGTCCCAGCAAGCGCGCCAGAAAACTAAGTATTGAGAACACATGGTGCCAGCAAGCGCGCCAAAACAAATCTAAAGTGTCAGCAAGAGAGCCGGAGGAGCCCGCCAAAACAAATCCAAAACGCCAACCAGTTCACTATACAAAATCTGAAGTAACACAGGNGAATGTTAAATTAATGTTCCCACCAATGCCTCAATTCACATAATTTCAATTGTTATTTTATCTGTAGTAGTAAGAAGTACAAAAAATAGTAATTTGTACCTGTCCCCAATCAAAATACAATTCCTTACATGACAAAGCCAACAGGTGGGTGTACTAATTGAATAGTGCTCTTCTTTCCACTTGTCCAATTCCCATAAAGATCCGATGCTTGGTTATAAAGGAAAAGCTGTCCCTATGGGTAGTGCTGAAAATTAATGAATTTGGGCAATTTTGCCCTATWTAATATAATAATACAGTAGTAGCTAAGTGAGATTAAAAGCAATACAAATGACATTCAATGAACTTATTAACAAGCAGACAAAGAGCTTTGTAATGGTACCCTTCTTCTGTTCATAAGTGCTCTGGTTGTAAAGTAATCAGTCTCACCATGGTGAATATGGTGTTTTAGCGATAATATGGCAAAATCCCTTGGAGTAAAGTTACTTTTTTCCAAGTATGGTTCAGTAGATTTTTGACGTTTAACGCATTTTATTACCAATTAACTGGTACTCGCAGAACAAAAACATAGTAATGGTTACTCTAAAGAAGTACATACTCGTACCGGTCCATCACTGTACGGTAATGTACTTATCTTGGACTAATATTCCTCAAGATTGCTGGGGAGTGGAGAGTGGAGAGTGGCGAGGCATTGGAAGACAAACTACGTTACCTACAAATAAAAAGCAAGAAGAGTTTCGGACTGAATTCGTACATAGTCAGGGGATAGAAACGAATGGATGAATTTGTTCTCTTCTTTTGAGTATTAGCGTGCATTATTTGACTTAGCAAGTTTGATTCATAGCAATCGCATTGTTTAGACTGCTATCTAYAATGYTTTTGTTCTATCATGGTGTTTCTATTTTACAAAAGTTAGTTACTTCGCGRTTGATGCAAGGTACAATCACGTCAAATGATKGAAGTAGTCGTATTGTACAACATGTGTGCGTTTTGTTCTGGTTAYTAAGGCCATCCGGTCTTCTTYGYCTTGCCTTACTCAACCTTMTCTCGTCTAAGAGCTGAAGTCCAGGACATGTCATCCCCAAACGAAGAGAGAGATCGCAGGGACGACATGGACTGTCGTTTGACACGATCGATCCTTCCAAATAGACTTGCCCATTCTTTCTTCGAAACGAGAGAAAGTTGCAATAAACCACAGGTCGTCATCATCATTGCGATCACGAAGAGGGCCGATTGCCGTGAGATCGCCTCGGTGGAAACAACAGCCATTGCAACAGCCACATTTACGATGATGCTTGGCACAGTCATGACTGAACCACGAGACTCTGGTGGAATRTAAATCGATCGCATGACTCCTTCACAGGGCGAGTAGATCCCTACAGAAAATTCGTAAGCGAYAAACGAGAAAAGGGCAATCGAAAATGTGTATTCTCCGGTCGCCGGCAACAAGGACGGAGCAAGTAGCAGCATGGCACAAAAGAAATAGCAAAGTGCTCCTTGGAATTCAATATCCATTGCCCGAACAGGTTCTTCGTCATCAACTGTGACAGTCTCGGGGACTTGACCCTTGGTCAATGGTGATAAGATRAAGGTGACAAATTTCCTGACYGTAGAAGAGCAAAGTCCACCCAATACACCGGCTGCCATGAAGGCGCCAAAAATCAGTCCGTAGGCTGGTTCTCCTTGCGTGTCCAGTCCCCAAACCGCTCCGTTTGAACCTGCAGCGAATTCCTTCAGCAGCGGAGACCACAAGAAGATGAAAATGTGGAGGGATCCAAGGGTAAGACCTTGAGTGATGCACACACGAAGAACTCGAGAGTCTGAGCGGATGAATGTTAGAGTTTCACTCAACTGAGTCAACGACGATTTAGAGKTGTTTTCGTCTCCCTCGGCCTCTTGWCCAATCTTTCCATAGTTTTCATTCCACAAGAAGAAAATGACTACGAATGCAACTGCTGTGCAAGTCACAGCGCCTTCAAACGGTCCGGTGTTGCCAAAAGATTCTGCCAGTAYATGAGCCAAGTAACCGGAGGCAATCGCTGCCAAATTGCTTACTACAACGGAATCTCGCATGAGAGTTTCGTAGTCTTCTTTCGCAAAACCTCTGTTTCGATACTCCGTATCCAACCACGTCTCAAACACAGTGGAAAGCAAGTTGGTCGTGATACCACCTACAACGCGGCTCACAATGAGACCGCTCAAAAAGGGAAATTGCTCGAGCATGTTGATGCCAACTTCCAATGCGCAGTAAAGCAATGCCGATTTCTTTCGTCCGAATCTATCGATCARCGGACCAGTGATGGGAGCTGTAAGTGCTCCAGTGATGAATCCCAAGCAGTAAAGGGACGCAACGGAAAATCCATATCCTTCGTACAAAACATAAAGATGGGTACCTGGAATATTATTTAGAATCAAGAAAAGATTTAATAAGAATCAAATAGAAAAACTGTTRTGCAAGAAAAGTCGCWAGTGATTCCATAAGGCATCGTGTGAAAGTATGGATCTTACCTTGCAGCCCGTCTGCAAGCATTACCACAAGGGTGACAAAAAGATAGCTAAGGCGGAATGTCAAGAACGAGAAGCGGTTATCACCTGTTTCGTAATCGCATTCAGAATCAAGAGCGGTGTAATCCGAGTCTAGGTTGCTTGATTCTGAATTAGATGACACCGTTGTGCACGTGTTGTAGCTAACATTGAGAGGGGTACACGATTCCGACCGATCGTCAGGGAACGCTTTGCCGCATGTATCACTGTTGTCGCCTTCCTTGTCGGATAATGAAGTGGAAGATGAGGAAAAGTCACTGCATGATTTSGTAGGGGGCATTGAATCATCCGTGTCTTCGTGCTTAGGTTTCAACAGCRTGTTTTGTGTCTTATCGTTCTCCTGACCWGATAGGCAATGCCGCAGAGGTGTTGGTATAAGGCTCCTCAATAGGGAGGATTCTTTGGAGTTTTTGGTGTCAGGAGTGCCTCCAATACCAGTTCTTTTTTCTTGTCTGTGAATATTCCGCTTTCGGAGTCCTGTCTCCTTGTTGTCAATCTGTGGCGACATGGTTCTTTTATCTAAGAGTAATTTGTTCCGCAGAAGAAGCTGCGCACTGTTTCCTCAATMTATGAGGGCCTTCGGGTAACGTGGTGTAATGGCAACAGGTGAACAACTTGACTAAATAGCTGTGTTGGTTTGGTGCTTAATATTTAGGATTCAGACAAACATTCACAATGCAAAGGTAACAACGGACTACGTTCCTTCAGTGTTACTAATAATTGTGAGAGACGAATACGTTCCTAATCGGGCATCTAACTGATGATGTCTTGCAGTGCATTGTCGGGTGACCCGAGAATGAAGAGAACCGGTCTGGGACAAACACTTTGCGCGTGCATACATATTATTCGTAATTAGTACTGATTCACGTTCGTGGCCACGGGTAACATTATTTGTCTTGTTTACTCACATTTGAAAGGATAGATTTTGTCTTTGCGCAAAGGGTGACGGCGTGCGTTCATTTTTTTTCATCTTGCAAGCAAGCACGGAAAGGAGGCCGAAAATTTACCGCCTTTTGCATCCGTTGAATATTTCATAACAATATACAAAAACGTACATAAGTGATTCAAGAAAAGACTTGCGGTATCGCTCCTTCCATCCGATTCGTGCCGTTCTGTTTTTCTCTTATTGGTTTGCACGTGTGTACTCTTGTACGGACGTTGAATATCATTTTTTGAATTTTTGTGAAAAGACACGCTGGCTTGACTACAAGACTGACTGCCTTCACAGAAATTAATGTAATATTGGCGACTCCGATGATAATACGAAGTACGGTACAGTACTTAGTTGGTTCGGGGTACGTAACGTACCTACTCTAAAGTCATATGTCCGTTGTACTCTACCACATCATCGTAGCTTTAACGTATAGAATGTACGATAGTACCGTAGTTCTGAGATATTTTTGTTGACAATCCGGCCACAATCGATTTTGATGACACAATTAATCGCTGAAAAGGTTGATTCGGAACATGGCAGCAAGCTTAGGCTACAGCCGTTGAGAGCTTGTCTGGCACGATAGCACGTTTGAGGCAATAGTAAGATTCCATTCAACGGATGGACTAAAATTTTTGAAGTACTATTAAAAAATACCTGAACCGGCTGTGATGAAATCCCAATCAATTACCGTCAAAAGCAATAAATGGGCAAAATGGGCAATAGTCGAGGAAGTCAACAATGGTATTTGTAGATGTTGGGTTGTACCGGTACAGTGAATAATGCTTCCTCTTGTCATGAAAAAGTATGTGCGATACGGTGCGCTTACTGCACTAATACTGCTAGTACTAGTAGGTTTGATCCGTCTGTTTTGCTGTCCCATCTACTAGTACTAGAAGGTCCTTTATCAGTACAATAATAGTAGTAATACTAGTAGTACTAGTAGTACTATTGCTAGCATTTGTAGTAGTTGCATGCACTATAGACATTGATAGGAGATGGTGCTTCTTCTTGTTCTTAACAACAAGGTCGTCTGATTTTTGTTTGCCACGCCCATATTTTCAACACACCACACCATGCAGCAACAAAAAATAAAACACCCTGATATTCTTCCTTCTCTATCTAGCCCCCTGCTATTGACCACTTTAAAAGAGGAGGACAGTAGCATTTTTTTCTTTCATGATGCTAATAGAATTAGTAATTTTATTTGTGCACCACATTGTGCAGAACAAGAAATATAATTCCATTCATGAATGAGAATATTCCACGATCCAAAACAAAAAAGTATTTTATCATCATTGCCTGCATTCTTGCAGTCCYCACCAAAAAAGACTCATTTGCCAACTTTTTTACTTGTAGTAGTACTGTCAACAATCCTTTTCTGAAGTCTCCTATTGTATAGAATGTGGCTCAAAAATCAACAATACAGGCAGTTGTTGATTTTGGGCTCCTATCTTTTTCCCATGTAAAATTTGTTGATTACTCTGATGGACATCACAAAAGCTTGTCAAACTACACCATATTTTCTATGAGATTGTTGTCATAATGTCAATCAATGTCTCAGAAATAAATTCTTGATGAACATATTGACCAAAAATAATATCCAATGTTGCACCAATACTGCTTCATGATGTTGGAAGCAACAAGGCAAGAAATTGTTGTCAATTGTCAGACACATAGGAGTCCTCACAACCATGTGCTGAAACTACCATTATCCCAGTGGAAGCGCTATCAACACAAGCTACSAAGAAGGACAACAACAAGGACAACAAGGACAAGTTTTTATTGTTTTTATTGTTTCTCCAAGCAACTAACGCTACCAACTGCAGATAGTAGTACTGAGTTAAGCACAGTGGTTGGACCATTAGAATCAGAGTAATACACAAAATAGTAGTGATTATTAAATATGGATGATAGTTTGCTCCTCTGTTTGGTGCTTTGTCAATTGCTTGTTTTGTTGTTGTTGATTGTTGCTTTGTTGTTGTCAATTGCTTTGCTGGTTGCTGATACTGTTGCTGATATTGTTGGTGGTGATTTAGTTGCTGGTTCTTGTTCCTCACAAGAATTCATCTCCTCATAGTTSGCTAATCAAAGGAGAAGCTTCTTTGATCCATGTAAAAAGGATGTCCCCACTCATCAAAGGCAAATTCTTTGGCACACTGAATGCAAGAACCAAGGAGTATAGTTGTTTTTCCTCTTCATTGCAGAGCTGTAGATCTCAAAGAACCACTCATGTTTATCTGCAACAATGCTCATCAATGGAGGTGACAGTGGCTTTCCCAATTGAGTTAACTCAATTGCCTTTGCAAGATCTTTCTTTTTCAAGCAGGTCTTCTTTAAACAACCAGCACAGTTCTCATTTAGTTCTTTGTTGTGTGTTGTTGGCTTCTGGTCCCATTCCCAGTCCTCCACCCACTTCCAGTCTTGATTCAATACNACTTGGTACTGCTTGTACTGAGTGACTTTAGAACAGAACTCCCAATCGATTAGTTCTGTTCTGAATTCTAATTCTCGTTCTGAGAACTAGTAAGGAGGAAGTATGTATATACAGTTATATACTGATCTGTATATAGTAGTACTTCGATTCGTGTAGTATATATATATATAGTATACTGTCTGATACTCGTACTCTCGTGTAGTACTAATAGTACTGGTAGTACTATATAGTTTTCGATACTATATATATAGTTTTGGGTCCCGGGGACTCATGATTGGATCCACGAGTGATCCTCCGTACTGTTCCTACAGTACTCGTTGCAAGCTAGCATCCTCACTAAAAGAGCATCAATACCATGGAAGAACCCCTTTTGGAATCATGTCAACAGGAATTAAAAGTTGAGAACCCTGAGAACCCCCCCCCCTTCCCCGGGGGAGGAACTGCTTGGAATGCAGCGAAACGCATGTAGTTTTGAGGTGTCGATTCCAGCAGACACAAAAAGAACAACGTCGATCTGCAAAAAGAACATCGATCCGCACCGCAAGATGGTTTTAACACAACACGGACAGCAGCAGCAACAACCAGTTGCAGGCAGGAGGACTGGTCCAAGGAATGGTACAGTGAACTACAGCACTCAGGAAACCATTGACTTGATGTACACCATCTTGGCAAGGCTTCCTATCGGGAGTGACCAGTGGAATGAAGTGGAGGCAACTCATCTTGAAAAGTACCCTGATAACAATAGGGACATCCATTCCATTCGAAGGAAGTTTGCATCCCTTCATAGGAAGAACATTCCTACTGGAGATCCTCACTGTCCTTTGGCCGTGAGACTTGCAAAGAGGGCCAAGCGCTTGATTGGAGAGAAGGCTGATATTGGAGATGGAGAGGAGCACTTTGATATTGAAGAAGGATATGTGCATCCCGATGGAAGGAATGGTGATCCTGAGGGTAATCATCGAGCTCCTCCTTCTGCTGGAATCAGCAATAGCAGCAACAACAGTGGCAACGTTAGTCGTGGCACCAGCAGTGGCAACGTCAGTCGTGACAGGAACAACGCTGACCCACCCCCCTCAGGCGGAGCTAGTACTCCAACAAGCTTCCCAAGAAACAGGAGTTTCTCAACTTACTCAGCAGGAAGAGGTAGTTCCACCAGCAATTGTTGCAACTGCAAGAGCTGTTACACCCGGAAGAGTTCCCCGTGTTCGGTCTTACAACACCGCCACTGCAAAGCATGACATTGTAGCAGCGTTACAGGACTGTGTTGCACAGCGTGAGAGAGCTGCTGAGAGAGCCAGGGAAGAAAGGCAGGAGGCCTACCAGGCCATCTGCAGCGCCCCACACCTTTTGCTCTCCAAGGATAGGGTATTTCTCCCCAATAGCCTCAATATAAGCATGGATCTCCTCTCTGGCGGGGGCTTGGATCCTTGCATCTGGATGGTCTTGCAAGACAAAGACAAGAATACACCTGGAGAATTTGATCCACTTGTACATTACTGTCGATGTTAGACCAAAGGCCATGGAGAGGCCTCTTGCTACTGAACCACGAGTCCTGAACCAGTGCAGTGTCAAGCCAAGACAACACAAGGCAGATGCTTCACGCTGTCGGCCCTTTGGCGTTCCATTCCTGTGGAAGCTCCTCATTCTAATCTTCCCTGTTGCTTCATCAATCATGTACATGTTGAATATTGGTGCATAGAGTGCCAACAGTCCTCTGAAGATCCTGTGGTCTACTCCACAGCAGTTTAGAAGGGCCTGCTCATTGCCAGAGCCATACAAGTGAAGGAAAGGAGACTCGCCCCACCTCCTGATTGCAATCCTAGGGTTTCTCCTATCCCTTCTGTGCCTCTCCTCTGGAGACAGTTCCTCTTTGTCAAGCTCATTGTGGAGAGCTACACAAAGGATCATGAATTCTAGCAACATTGTTCTTGTCGATGTTCCTTGATTGCGTGTCGACGTTCCTTTTTAGCAGTGACGATCCAAAATTTTCTGTCGGCAAGCATCGATACCCTTTTGATGCTGCTTCAGCTATCTTTTCAACAACCGATCTTACTAAACCCAACCAACCCCATCATGTTGACACTTTAGATTTGTTTTGGCGCGCTTGATGATTTTGTGACACTTTAGATTTGTTTTGGCGCACCATTTTTGGCTCCCCCGGCTCTGGTGACACGTCAGTGACACTTCAGAACCCATCAGTGTGACACTTTAGATATGATTTGGCGCACCATTTTTGGCTCCCCCTGCTCGTGACTAATGAATTTTTGAATCGAGGATTCCAAAAAATCTATGCCTTTTTTGCATACTTTTGGTTGTCGAGAGCCTGCCTGGACCAAAAATCTATGTATCTGTGT